ATATATGCCAGTTGCCACTATATTACATACATAATATATACATTATATATATAGGCCTATATATATGTTATTTATATATTTATTAAATTTTATAGAAGAGGAATTTGGGTGTGTGAATACAATTGCTCCAACCAGGTCACAACACATGAGATTCTTTATTGAAGCATAATATTTCTATTTTATTACGTCATTATTATTAACATTTTTTTGTAGATGTCAACTGTAACAAATCTAACCCAGGACAGTGTACTTTCCGTATCTGCCGAGTATTTGAATGAAAATGACGGTAACCAGCTAGGCAAAGATGACGTTGAAATGCTCGTGTCTGCATTACAAGATATTGCATCGTTTGATCAAGGAGGGAGTGAAGATGATATCAGAATTAGAGCTAAGGTTTGTTTTATGTCATTTTCTATTGTAAAACATACAGAAATTTAATGAATATACATGAGGTACTGAACATATAAGAATCGAATATGAAAACTAATATCATAAAACACTGTTATTAATAAATGTAAATATAATTTGTATTATCTTTCGTTATTTTACTATTCTGCATTTATTTCTGATACATAATTGTGTTTTGTCCCGTTAGAATGTAAGAGATGTTGCAGAGAATTTGTTCAGTCCTATTCAAAATCTGGTAAGTTAATAATTTAAATTAATGTAAGGTTAGAAATTGTCTTGAACTGTGGAGTCAAGCTTTACATGTCATAGGTCATATGAATTAGACGTGTTAATAGCCAGACAAACTAATAAAAATGTGGCACTTTTGACAAGGTTTCATTAACTTGCTACAACTTATTACTGTACTGTATAAATAATCATAAAATTGAATAATAATAATAATAATAATAATAATATGCAGAAATTTATAACGCTCCAATTAAAAAAACATTATCAAATGCGCAGTGAACAATTAACCCAATTAAAGCGATTTTGTAAACAAAAAAGTTTACTATACTATATATTTTGTATAAAACGTCTTTTTGATTGTAGTTTTACAAATTAAAGTTGACTGATACAATTTTGAAATTATTATTCAGGATGAAGATGTAGCATTAGGAGTTGCTGTCTCCATGGAAACCATCCTCGTCAAATCTGCTGGAAGCTTACCGCCCGGAAGCAATTTCACTCTGCACTCTGAAAATACAGGTTTATCATTAATTAATATATTTATATATGCAATAATAATAATTACATTATAATGTATGTCTTTATTATATTTTAATGCCTTCAATTTCTTATTTTTGGAATCCCATTGTAATTATGCCGATGTTTATCGACTCTATGGGTCATCCAATATTCTAAAGTCGTCTGTTGTGTCTTGTATTTACGTTTTGCTTTCATGAAAAACCGAATAAAGCATAACCAACTCAATTATTTAATTGTTTATGTCACCTTGTCATAACAAATAATAACGTCATGATTGATTAATTATTATCAATATTAATTTACATTATTAATAAAATATAAATATATTATCGTTGACAGCGGTTAATATTATGAACATAGACTCTGCTGCTGATGCTCAGTTATTGGTTTTCAATTTCTTTAATTCTGACTCGAATATTTCATCAACAATCGACGAAAGCAAGAAAAGCTCAGTAAACTCTTTGGGTTATATGAAGGTCGCAGAGTCAGCTTTAGACGGGGTTACAAGTAAGAAGGAATTATGATAATATTGTTGTGGATATACCAATGTTGAATCCATATACTGTACCTTATTTATTCGAATAAACGCCCCACTTTGAACAAACGCCCCTCGAATAAATGCCCTTTCTAGGGCCTCATTTGGAATAAACCCCTCCCTCGAATATTTTTCCTTCAAGTAAACGCCCCCCCCCCAGGTGACCGTAAATAAATCTAATAGAAGCAACATCATTCTCAAGACATTTTTTAAATTTCTACTGAAGCAGTAGTCTATTCTGGTTGGGATCAATAAGTTTTTATAATCACGCAATAATCCATTTTGAGGATAATTATGGTTGTCGTTCCATATTTACAGTGAAATTATGGGGCGTTTATTTACTACTCCATATAGGCCTACGTATCTATTTTACAGCGAAAAAAAATAAACGCCTCCCTCGAATAACCCAGTATTATAAAAGGGTGCCTGCTTGGATGACGTGGTATTGAATGTATTAATCTCATGTATCGGCATTAAATTGCAAGCACGACTAGTACTCGCCAGGGAGTGGAAGAGATTGCACTTTGCACAACAACGAAGATAACAACGATAACAATTATTTACAGTAACAATTATAATAATAACAAAATAAATTATCAGGTTAATGCTGTTAACCACAATAATATTTTTTAAGTTCTTGTTTTCTTTCTGATTCTTAGGCCAAATTGGGTTGTCAGTAATTTATTACGACAAGTCTGTATTCGATTCAACGCAGTCAAGAAATAAAAAAGAAATCAAAAGGTATGTTATTTAAATTCAAACGACATGTACGGCATGATATAAGATACATAGCTGGAAATGAATAAAATGGCATGGTTTTCTATAGATTTATATAAATCATAATTTCAGAAATAGCATACATCAAATTAAACATAACAGGTGTTGTGTAGTTTTGTTCAACATATTCGGAGGGTGCTGTATAAACCTTTGCATTACGTTGACGTTCTTCTACATTTTTGTAATTTAGTGAAACGGAAATATTGGCAAGTGGGGTTATTTCTTGCTCTGTATTCACCAACTCTGAAATTCAGTCAGTTGCTGTTGAATTTGCCTTGGAATATGACACTGTAAGTAATATTATAGTTTTAAAGAAATTGAGTTAGGTAATGGATCTTCTGCGATGTTAAGAAAAAAATAATTAAACAATACCGAATAGAAAAAATATTCTGAAGGAGAAGGCTAAAAAAAGTTAAGTATAATAGCATTAAACATGTGAGTCCTTTCTTTGCATTGCGTCCAAAACGTACTGGATGAAATGCAAAATATGTAATACATCACATATTTGTTTTCTCGACTTTAAAACTAAACAAAAATGTTCATCATTAGCGGTGTATCCCCTACATGATAATCTTTTGTTCATTCAGATTCTATCTCAGGAAAGTGAAGAAGAAGATGGCATTCGAGAAGAAAAAACTACTACCTGTTCGTTTTGGGATACATATTCGGAGTAAGTATAAACATTTGTAGATTTGCTGAATATAAAATTATGCTCCAGTTAAAAATCACCTCATTTTACTTTATTTTGTGAGCTAGCGCCCCCTCACTTGATCATCGAGCCCCATCCCCATGTCACTTCTCCTCCCCATGTCACTTTCCCTCACCTTACCTCTTTAACACCCCCACCCCCATTACAAGCCCTTAGATACGCCACTGCTTAACTCATTAATTAACCGTGAATTTACCACTGGATTTGTGGAAGAAAATTAGTATACATATTAATTATTTTAATATGATTTTTTTTGCGATCATTCATCGTTTTAGAACTTGGTCCACAAAAGGATGTGAAGTTACTCTTGAGAGCAACAGCTTAATGCAGTGCGCGTGTGATCATACAACTAACTTTGGAATTGTAGTACAGGTTGAACAGGTAGGCCTATGTTTATTAAGCTTGCTTCACACTAGATTTCACGCTTTACGCACACTAAAGCAATAATACGGTACTCTGTGTGACGCGTTTGAATTGCTCTAGTAGAACCTTAATAGTGACTTTTTACTTTATGAGTGCTTGTCACACGATCGCGTTCAACAGTGTCATTCGCACGATAGCCAATCATATTATATATAAATATGAGTATTTTAAACAGCAAGCGAACGATGAATGCATGTCTGAAAATCTAAAGATGAAATTGTGCATCTCAGATGGAAATTAATATTGGTAAGCAAATGCATAAAAGTCTACTGCAATTTTTAACACTTATGGTCGAATATGCACTGTATATGGAATGGTAAATGTTTTCTATTTATATTTCTTTCTAAATATTTGCTTAACTAGTTGATATTTATATTTTTATAATGGTTCTAAATGATTTGTATAGCCATAATGACCTGTTATCCTCTATCTTTACATTTTTTCGTATATGTTTAGTATTTCCGTGTTTATTTTTTCCCCATAGTTACCTAGCACTATTGATTTGGCAACTATTGTGTATGTCTTCATCATAATTGGGCTTATATTGCTTTTCATTGCACTCTTCATCATTCTATGGGTCACGTGAGTATACAAAACAACACAGGTACACAGGCATTAGGTAACAGAAAGGTGGTATGGCAACCACATTCAATAGTACAGCTATCCGTCAGTTGCAATGATATCACAACAGCGATTTTTATATTCAAAACATAATAAAATATAAGAAACCCTTTTTTTTAAATGCCCCTGGATTGCTTATCAATGTTATCTATCATTATGACAACCAGTCCTGGCAGTAAAAATAATTACATCTCAGCACATTTCTGTCAACTCTACAGATTAAATTGTCAGGGGAGGATCCACAGATGTCCGAAAAGTGGGGGTGGGGGGAGGTGGGGTGCTATCGAGGGACAACACTATCCTAGGGGATCCGGGGGAATGTTTTATAGATGCCCGGAAATAACATATGATTCGTGTTGGGAGATCAATAATTTTCTTTGCTAAATCTGCCCTGATTGTTTTGCGGTATTAAATATAAATAATAACATTACAGTGACTGTAAACATTATTTTATAGCTGAGTATGTGTTAAAATATACATATAACGTTGACAAGTTCTCAAAATTTATTTCAGGTTTTACACCCGTGAGTCGTGGCTCATTGTCCACGCCAATCTTATTCTCTCGCTTTTGTTAGCGTTTATAACATTCTTAGCCGGCATCGAAGATACGCACACGATTGTAAGTCGAACATAATACAATGGTGATAGTTAATAACAATAATTATAATAATACAAATAATTAATAATAATTAATATTATTATATTATTGTTATTGTACTATAATAACAAGTTTATAAATTCAACACAATCATTATATGATTAAAGATAATCATATATATCTATAGTATTAGGCCAATTGTTATCAAATTTTAATCATAATTTATTTTAATGTAATGGTGACAGACAGGCTCACAATAAAATAATAATATTCTTATTCTTCAACATTGTTTTCTGAGGAAGATGACGATGATGATGAGGATGATAATGATGATGATGATAACGACGACAACGTTATTACCATGGCCATTGGTATAAATCATAATGATAATCATCATCATCATCACCCACATTATCTTTATCTTCATCATTATAACTAGCCTCGTTTCAGCGTGGTTCTTCCATTTTTTCCCTTTATTAGAGTGGATGTAGAGCAACTGCAATTTTCCTCCACTTTTTCCTGCTGGTATTTTTCATGTGGATTCTTTTGGAGGGAATTTATCTTCATTTCACAATGATAACACCCTTTCCTCAAAGTCGAAAGATTCTCATCGTTCACATTGTGGCTGGATGGTGCCTGCCTCTAGTGATAACATTTTTGTCAATGGCTGGATACTACGACGGATACGGCACTGAAGAAGTGTAATGCTTATTATTATTATTATTATCATTATTATTATTATTATTATTATTATTATTATTATTATTATTATTATTATTATTATATAATTTATATTGTTTATGAAATTGTTAAATATGTTCAATATTTAAAATAGCATTATGAAATACATGAGTAAATGTTTGTTTACATTAAATTCTTGTTAAGTATTTTATTAATAGCTTACGTCCTTTTTTGTGTATTTTATATTGTAGGCCTATTTATAATGTACCTTTTTTTATTGGCGTAACAAGTAAGCTCTCACCCGGCTAAAGCCAGAAGCTCCCAGACCCTGAGGGGCCCCAGGATATCATCAGCAATTTCATTTTGCTCCAAATAGGTCGAGCGGGGCATTTTAAGATTAGAACGTGTAAAACAATTTCAAAATACTTGCTTGCATGCCACGTACCCTAATGGCTTTTACCCGCACCCGTTCCACATAGTTGTAGTATGGAGCGACAAACCTTAGCCTGGGCAGTGGCGAATTCGGGGGACAGGCGCTCACCCCCCCCCCCCCTAAATTTTTCGAAATAAAAATAATGGAGAAATGGGGAAAATACCTGCAGACCCACAACTTGCGAAATTCCCTCCCTGGGCCCCTCTAAAATGCCTTTTCGTTAAGCGACCCACTGAACCGCACTACCCAAGATGTTAAACTGATGTTCAGGGGTTTTATTTAAAATTGAGCAATCATTTTCAAACTAAAATAACTTTCTTCTTATGAGGTCTTAGTCTATGCTTTTATATAAAAAGCGACACGTTACTAAATTCTTTTATTTTCAATTTTAGATGCTGGTTGTCTGCCGACAAAGGTTTCTTAGCAGCCTATATACTCCCAGTTGTCGTTATTATGCTTGTAAGTAGTTTTTTATTTCAATCTTGAATAATTTAAATACTTTTTGATAATTACATCCAGATTTTATATTAAGACAGCATCATTTGAAATAAAATATTCAAACTACCGGTCCATTACCTTGTATTATTCAAGTCAAGCCCCGGCCAGGATATTGTTTCTAAGGTCTCATCAAAATGACAGCGCGCGTCACGTAAAAGTACATGCAAACGTAGGCCTATATGAATTTGAAGGACAACACGTGCGTTTTACTCTTGTTCTGACTGATCTATTACATAAATGACTGCTTTTAGCATACATATGATGATTTTTTTTTTTAACTTAGTGCTGTATTAGTTGCCTAATGTTCATCAATTACAACCAAAACAAGGGGATATATAAAGCAATCAACCACCAAGAGATTTATCTCGTGTAAGTACCTATTTGTATGTTTCTAATCTAAATTATACTTGCTTCTAATAAATTTAGGCCTAATTCATATATGTGGCGGAACTAGTTAATAACAGAGCATACGCCCTCATCGCATTTAATCGACAAGACGGGATCCCTAAAGTTATAGGCCTACTATATATAATTAATTATGATAAAATAAAGAGGTAAATTAGAGAGCATTTTGGAGATTCCATTTTTACTTACTTAACTGTTCATAATTTGTAAAACATTTTTTAACATCAGAATTACTCTACGAGATATATGCGTCGTGTGTGTCTTGGCGGGTTGTACGTGGCTCTTTGGCGGACTGACCACCAAACATATTAACTCACTAGGCTATCAACTATTTTTTGCCATCTTTGGATTGATCTTATCAGTTTATCTCTTAATCTTTTTCGGCATCAGGAACCATTTGGTACGTATTATTGCTGTCTCTTATACACATCTAGATGTGTATAAGAGACAGATATAAGGATGACTGAACGCTAATAAAGCTTTTTTTCTTTCAGAGAGTTTTACCTCCGACTCGCCAGTCCCCTCTTTTATGCTATACTTCGGGTAAGACAAAATATTTTATTGTGGAAATCAAATGGATAGACAACTTTTGTCCGAACCGATTTTGGCATGCCAGGTCAAAGTAATTTGATGGGACATGCTATCAAAATGTTAGGTCTTGAAATCATGTGTAAATTCCAAAATAACATCCCATCCAATAACGGCAGATTCAGACGTCATTGCGTCACTTATACAAATATAATATTGTAGACATAAGAAACAAATATAATTAATTCGTTAGCAACATTCAAGTTGGTTTTCGTTATCGAGTATTAATTATGCCTTCTCATAGATTATTACACAGGCCTAAACATTACGTCATTAATCGACATTAGTTGAAGTAAATTTATATCGATTAATGACGTCTGAAGTTTATAAATTTTGTTTATAGAAAGACCACCTGAGAGCTTACAGGATGATGATGGCTCCAACATGTCTGAGTTTGATCTTCATACAGTAAGAATGTTACCTTATTATGTCACTTATGTTTTTCATCATTATTGAAAGAGTACATATTAACCTGTGACTGTCAAAAATATTGCACAATTAACAGTGATTCTTTTGCTATTTTAAGGCCATTATTTTTTCCATTCATTAATACGCATACAAACCGAAACCCAGACCAAATGTTTCATGCCTGTCTTCCGACGATGACAAAAGGAGCAGAAATGTGCTAAATCTTGTGATGGGCTCTTAAAGTGGTACCTGCTTAATGCCAGATTAAAAAAAAAAACACGTTTTTACCCTATTTTGACTGTTACTTTGTATCCCGAAACTGCTGCTTGCATCTCATTTTCGCCTATTAAGATTTTGTGTAGTTGTTTATGAACTTGTATTTGAACCGTATTTCGTATTGTATTTTCTTCTCGCAGCCACAATCAGAACGTCGGACAGCTAGTCCCCGAGGAGAGTACAACGAGAATGATATACCAGGACTTGTGACAGACCCAAGCAATGAGAAAGACGATACCAATAAAATACAGGAGCAAAAACCAGAAGAGGAAGACACAACTGAGAAAATCCATGTACCGCCATTATTGAATTTACCCAAAGAAGACGCGCAAGAGCAGAAAGATGAATTTAATCCTCGAGAACAAGTCTTCCTGAATGAAAACGTGCAGCTGTTGCAGCTTCCGAATACCACATGCAGCAAACCAGACATCCACGAAAGTGAACCGCTTACTGAAAGCATTCCTGATAAACACGACGAACAAGAACCAGTCGAAGAAAATTATCCTCAACCTCAAAAACCCGACGAACAGGTTCCAGTCGAAGATAAAGACCCAGAACCGGCAGAAATGGGGAATCCTAATGGTAGCGAAGATCCGACGATTAAGACAGGTGAAAATATATCAATCTCATAACCTGTATTCGCGATATAGGGTGGGCAAAGAGCGTTTTTATTACTGTATAATTGACTGGTAGTTCAGCGCATGTTGATTTTAGAGCGCATGAGTTTTGTGGAAATTGAGACCTATAGGCCTATATCGAATAGATTCACTACGGCAGCACCATGCATTTAAAGAATCATTTTAATTCGAAAATTCTATTTAAAAACCGAACAAAATTGGGCATAGGCCTATGTGTGAAATGAAATGTACTTCTTTTTGCTTGAAACATTCATCCAGCTAAAAATTTGACGTTATAATAACGTTAGTTGGTGTTTAAAACGTATTTTTCTATTACCAAAAATGTCCAACCTAATACGTTATTAACGTTTCTGCAACGTTGTATTAACGTCATTAACTGATATAAGTACTACGTTTATAATGTTTGCTAATGTTATAAAAATATAATATGTTTTGTGGAGACGCAGGTTTATAACATTTAATTAAATTTTCTTATTTGTTATAATAAATCAGAGGAAAATGATGAAAACTACTCTGATCAAAAACAAGACGAACACAATGAATCAAAACCGGATGGAAACCAACAAATAACAGACGAAAACGAACCAAAAACAGAAAGTGATGATTCGCACAGTGATGAAGCCCCAAAAGTAGATGAAAACAAATTGAACTCAGACCAAAAAGACGGGAAAAACACAATAGGTGAAAAAGAACCAGACTCAAACGCAATAGACCTTTCAGACAAAAATGAAGAACAAAACCAAGATAACGATAAACCACAAGATGAGAACGTAGACGGAGTGTCAGATAAAAACGAACCAAAACCAGAAGATGAAGACAAAAAGGACGAGCAAACCCCAGTAGACAAAAAGGAACCAGAATCAAACGAAATGAAAAACGAATTTTCAGACGAAAATGAAAAACAAAACCAAGATAACGATAAACCACAAGATGAGAACGAAGACGTAGAGTCGGATAAAAACAAACCAAAACCAGAAAATGAAGAGCAGCAAGCAAAAGCAGACAATGACGACGCCCCAAAATCAGATGACAATGAACAAAATTCAGACGAAAAGGAATCAAATTTTGAAGGAAAATCCGAGAAAAAGCCAGGTGGTGGCGAAGAACAACCTGAATCAAAAAAAGTAGAAGAAAATGCAGAAAAAAAAGAAGAAAAAACACCAGATGACAGAGAAGAACCAAAGTTAGAACCAGATGAAAAAGGAGAACCAGAAAAAGACAACAAAGAAGAAATTAAATCAGACGGAAAGAGTCGTAACCCAGAAAGCAAAACTAAAGAAGAGAATAGAAGGAAACGAATAAAAGCTTGTTTGGCGAGGGCGAGAGCTGTGAGCCCGTTCTCCGTTCCAATGACACGCGAAGAACCGCTTTTGCCAGGATTTAGTAGACTGTCAAAGAAATGAAACAACAATAATACTACTATACTATTACTAAACTAATACTACTGTTACTAGACCTATACTACTAATGCATATATAACATATTGTACTATCATCGAGATTATTGTATTATTATTATTATTATTATTATTATTATTATTATTATATTAATGTTATTGTTATTTTTCAAATAGAATATTGACAATCGGTGAGTTTGGACACATCTCATCGGCGCCTTGTATGTAGTTGATATAGTTGGACAATAGTATTATGATAACTATTGTTATTGATAATATTTTATTTTTAATTTCTAAAATTATAGTAGTCTATCAATCGGTGAGTTCGGAACATAACTCACCGGCGGCCATGTGTGTAGATGATCATATAATTTAAATAGTATCCGACGACTCGGTTAACAGAATGTACGGTACCGTATTGAATGCTCCCAATCCATTTACATGTATATATATATATATTATCATTATTATTATTATTATTATATATATATATATATTATATATATAATATTATATATTATATATATGATATGTATATATGTATATTTCTTTAATGCACTTTTTTAATGCAATACAAAATTTAAATTTGTCAAGCCCTCGATGCTTCAAAATAACTAAAAATCACCTAAATAAACTGTGCATTAGCTGTGGAAGGTGGGTGTGTTCCTATTTGAATTTATTATTTTTTTTCTTTATATTTTTATTGTTGTACTTGCGGCTGTTTCAGGGACGTATTCAGGCCAAGGTAATTTTCCGCTCTCGAACATAGCGCGTGCGTACAGTCCTTTGATTTTTACTGTGGCATCGACAATCCGATACTAGTTGCGAGTACAGCCGTCAATTATTAGTCTATGCGCGCCATTCGTTTTATGGTGTTAGTTTTTATTTTGTTAATTGTGGGTACTTCGCAATGTCTGTTACATCTGATTTTTTTTTACCGCGAGCTTGTTAAATACTTCTATAAACTGCAATTTGATTTGTGAAAATTGACCAAGAAAATAAAATCTCAGCCGATACCTTGCACAACTCGTTAACGTCTCTATCTATTGTCGTGACGTCATGGCTCGCTGGCTCACACTTGCGATGTCTCGCACTTGTGATGGAGCCATAGTAGAAAGGGCATGCGACATTGAGAATTTAGAAGCCATTTTGTGTCATACGCGATGCGCGTTCTGTGTCTAACGTGATGTGCGTTCCTGTGTATAATATTGTATAATACAGTTAGCGGCCTCCTGTATAGTTTAATTTCATTTGATCTTTTTAGCAGTCGAATTTCATGTAACTATTTATAGATTTTTTTTTAATGATTTCACTACTTTATATCCAATTTCATATTATAAAATAATACTGTAATAATTTACTATTTTTAAGCAGTTCTTTAATCCTCGCCGATAGACAGAGAGAGCCCTTCGATGGCAAGCATTCTTTAATTAGGCAATCCTTAAGTAGCTCCTATTATTTTTGCAAATAAATGATATGTGACGACCAGCAAAAATTTATTAAATACGTATATCAAAATGTAATTTAAATCCGTCTAGCGTATATAGATTGTTGCTCTTTAAATTTGAATATGAACGAGCCCTATACAGATCTTATGTTATTAATTTGATTATTATTATTTATAAATATTAAAATAGTATAGGTCAGTTGGCCGCAATATATAAACTGTGCTTTGCTGTAAATGTTATAAATTGTAAGTGTTAAATGATATACAGGATCTGTGATATATTCAACTTGTGTAATTATGTAACGTACATTTTCTTGTATTAAAAGTCTCGACTCTATTTTAATATTGTATTATGGCTGTACAGTATGTTACTTTTATAAACATACTGCGAGAGCGTGTCCGCTGTTTTAAAAGCGTCGTTTCCAAAATAAAGTTATAATAATTATATAATAGTATGCAATAGAAACAGCAAATCATTTTTAAGATTATTAAACATCACCATTATTTTCATTGTCATTCGTATTTATACAGGCTGTACAAAGATTTGAATTTAAGAACCATTTTCTAATATTGTTTAGCGAACAACCTTTAAAGATCGTCAGAAAAGGTCGGAAAAAAAATTAAATTTTTTTCTTAATTAGCTTAAATATTTTTCCGAACGCATCTAGGCGAATGAGAAAACAAAAATTAAATTTTAATGATGAACGTAAACAGTGTAATAATGCAACTGATAAATGATTTAAATTTATATAATTAAGGAAAAAAAATATATATATACATATATATATATATATATATTAAATAAAATAGGTCGGGTCTTCATTGATTAAAATGTGACGAATTAATGATAATTGAAAACAATTCTAATTTTAATTTCAATCATTTACGCGAGCACGGAATTTACGCGAGCACGCACGCCCGAAAATATTCGATTATATATGAATTCTTATACGCTGTCCATACTAAGTGATGTTAATTATAAAATATAGTTGTAAACCCAATTAAGTGTTTGAAATTAATATGCAATGTACGTAACACATATACTTTGCATGTGTTCACTGGGAAGATTATGAAACAAAATGGACGGTGTGTACCACGTGACTTTCGTAAACCAAGGAGCGGAATGTCGCAACTCTTTATATATATGGCTCTGGAATTGCCTGTTCAGGCTCTCCCCCTTTGAACACAGTGTTAAAATTTCAAAGCTTGTTCATGCTAGCCAATAAAAACTCTTGCCTGGGATCACTCAATATGAATACTTCTAAAATATGTAAAAATACATCAGTACATATGCCTAACAGGCCTACAATAGTTATAACACATAGGCCTAAGCGTGATTTTTTTTACGCAAATTACAATACAAATTGAACATGGTATGTTATAAATCATTTTGTTCTACGCTATGTGACAGTTATAGTCAACTCCGAAGACGGCATGTCACTTTTTTGCAATAACACATTAAAGCAAAACAGGGAGTTTGGAGTTGATTTAAATGCTGTACAATTTCGAATTGGCTCCTTCTACTATAATGGGTTTGTGATAGAAACCCACCATAACCCGTCTGTCAATAAAAGTCACCGGCTAACCTGTTAGTCACCCAGTGGAATATTCGTTAGATTAATCAATTTTTCACTATACACGATAATGCAAAAATTAATATGTTCGTGTTTATAATTACTACAGCTCGGGGAGTGGATTTATCAAAAATCATCTTAAATTCGTCTTAAATCCATAAATCCCAGGCCAGGTCTTTTAAGATACAGAAATATGATATTGTATGGTTCAGTTTTTTTTTTCTTTTTGCAACCTTTTATAAAGTTTTGTTAAATAATACCACTACTACTACTACTACTACTACTACTACTACTACTACTACTACTACTACTACTACTACTACTACTACTACTACTACTACTACTACTACTACTACTACTACTACTACTACTACTACTACTACTACTACTACTACTACTACTACTACTACTACTACTACTACTACTACTACTACTACTACTACTACTACTACTACTACTACTACTACTACTACTACTACTACTACTACTACTACTACTACTACTACTACTACTACTACTAGTAGTAGTAGTAGTAGTAGTAGTAGTAGTAGTAGTAGTAGTAGTAGTAGTAGTAGTAGTTGTAGTATTAATAATAATAATAATAATAATAATAATAATAATAATAATAATAATAATAATAATAACAATAATACTGTAATAATAATAACAATATTGACGATGGTGATAATGATAATAGATAATAATGCTAATAATATTAAAAAGTGAAGAAAATTGTGCTAAAGGCGAAAAAGACTATAGTTAGGCCATTGTTGTCCTGAATATTAAGTAGATCCCTGATAAAAGGTCATAAGAAATTTGTGGGCGCTTCATTTTGACTATATATAATCATAGAGAAAATAGAACAGATATAATTGTGATGTGATGATGAAGAATTTTACTGTATAAAAGTGTCATTCCGGCCATCTAGAGGTTGAATATTTCCTCAAATTTTTCGCACCTCAGCCCAACCATGGTGGGTCTGATATGGCTGTGAAATCACGGCTTTGAAGTATGTAAAGTTCATACTAAAAGAGTGTTTATAAACGTCATTTTCTATTGTACATCACACATATTAATAAGACCTATGGTTGCCGAAAATCCCTGATATAAGATCATGAGAAATGTGTTGGCGCTTCATCTTGACTGATGTGATGATGATGAATTTTGAGCTACAAAAAGTGTCATTTCTGGTACTATTTCCTCAAATTTTCGCACCTCAGCCCCAACCTCACCAAAATGTCCCCTCCACCTTTCAAAATAGATCTGTACCCTTCCCTGAGTATGAGCAGTGGCGATAATAATAGGCCTAGTATGGTGGTATGATGATGGACGTGGTGGTCATGAAAATGATAGGCGTAATGATCGATGATGTTTGATAAATAATAGGCCTAGTATGATGATGATGAGGAAGATGATGAGGATGTTAGGCCTAATGATAGCGATCATGGTGGTGAGAATGAGGATGATAATATCGACGAGGATGATGAATAATAAGACAAATGCTAATAATAGGTGATGACAGTAGTGGGTAATGAAGATAGTGATGACATTATATAATATCGATGATGCCTGATGATCATGTTGATAAGATTATTATAATTATAAGATGATGAGGATGATGTTTATGATAACGTCGACAATGATGATGAGGATGATGATAACGGCGTCGACGGCGATGATGATGATCAGTGGCGTCGAGAGCCAGTAAGGGCCCCGAGGCAGCACCTCACATGCCCACCCCCCCCCCCCCCCCTTCACTTGGGACCCCCACTCGGCCGCTCCCCAAATTAAGTCTTCTCCTAAGACCCTATTTGTCCAAACCCATATACATGAATATGACTCCATGTGATTATTTTTTTGCAATGTAGATGTATCAGAATAATATGATGAATAAACGATATAATTATATATATATATAATACACGTATATACATACCACTTTGCATCTGGTTTGGAACGGGAGAGCATTGGGTGGACTATTCCCCTGGGGGATTATTCATCTAATAAGAATACAGAAAGACTGAGAAAGACGCCCATAAAACCATAATGTAGAGTTTGTTCTGACAACAAAAGTTTTCATCCTGGCTTGGGCTCGGGCCCTATAGAGATTTTGTTCTTACCCCGAAAATTGTTCCTCTTGGTCCTGGCCCCCCCAGTAGACCTGGGCCCCGGGGCAGCGACCTCCCGACCCCCCCCCCTCGACGCCACTGATGATGATTAAGCTACATAATATTATTATTGTGGTGATGTTCATGGTAGCCTATGACGACGACGTATTAGTCCTATATAGTTACCAGTAACGTATGTCTACTTGTCTATAAGTAATATAACCTGTTACGATTTATTTACTATAATAATGATATAAAGTCAGGCCTAACGCATTTATGGGTCAAGTATTGATCGGTATTAACGGATTGATGTATGAAATTATTTCGGATAAAAACGCCGGAAAGTCTCTTTCTATAGACGTCACAATCAAGGACAAGTGTCCTAATGTAGACTATAATAACGCCGTTGGCGGAATGTAAAGGAGGTGTATCATGCATACAGAAAACTAAAGAAAATCAGTATTTTTTTCTTTTCTGTTTTGATAAAGAAATGGAGTCTTTGTAAGAATAAACCTAAGTCGATCGATGACTGTAGTCACATGACGCACGCGCGACTGATCGATTTAAATGACCCGAAACTTTGCGTGTCACAGCTTCCGGTTTTCGTGGCAGGGTGTTTTAAATGGATCCGATCCATGTGGTTTGCCAAGCGATAACCTTGTGTGTGCGGCGACTTGTTTGTTTACCAGGACGAAGTGGGAGGTACACACATTATTTTTGAATCATTCAATATTAATCCCATATAAACCATCAGTAGGATTCAGTCATTATAACTCTGGTAAGTATTGCCTCAGTTTGTAGGTGTTTGAGTTTTATCTAACGCACAGAATCATCTCTCGTAAGGCTAGGCCTCTGGAGTAACCTAAGGTTCGTGAAATCCGAATCAAGTTGTCAAGTAGTGCACTATTAAAGCTGTTCGGGCGGCTACTTACACTAGCCGTGCCTACTGTCACTACCTAGGTAGTCGAGTCGTCCCTGCCAATCTACTGACTGTGTGTGGTAAGTAAAGCAGGCCTAGGCCTGGTCTAACTTGCTGTCGTCTCTGTTTACTCCTCTGTGCTTTTGCTCATAAATGCCTTTTCAAATTAAGGTGTTTTATATATAATAATAATAATAAATATGAATGATTAAAAAAAAAAAAATTATTGGGAGTAGTACAGCTTTTTGTGTTTTAATGTTTTTGGTTTTATGAAATTTTTCTCAGTTTGTTATTTTCTTTGCTGGGATCTGCAGAGGACCCGGGATTTTATCCCTGAGCATTCCCCTAGTATAAACAATAAAAGAATGAATGAATAAATGAATTACTTACCGGGTATTTAATACTATTGGTGTGAACAGCTTCGTTGACTGTCAACCAGTTAGGGAAGCTTTGTACACCGAAGAGTTAGCATACTGGTTTTGCTTGGGTAATTTGTTATGGTCAACTGTAAAATCAATGAAATTTTACCAACTTAATATTTAGTTTCATATTTGTAAATTGTCGATTTCCAATGACTATGTTTTGTTCATTAGGATCACATGAACAATGTACACCTTGGGCCGATTCGGACGAGTAAAGTTTTACTGGGTACTTCCAGCTGAGGGGCCACGTGTGGCAATTAACTTTTGCCCCAGCTATAAAAAATTCGAAAAACATCTGGACGAAAACTCATCTTTTTTAGTGGATATTTCAATTACACATTGCCTCCAGGCATAAATTAATCATGTGTAACAAGGCTCTGTCAAAGGGTCCTACTAAAAAACGCCCGGAGACGCCCGGAGCTCCCGGAGACGCCCGGGGCTCCCGGAGACGCCCGGAGCGCCTGGATGGACGGCATGTAAGTTATAAACGGCTGTGATACGGCCAGAGAACTGTCTCTTATACACATCTAGATGTGTATAAGAGACAGATTTATTTACTATAATAATGATATAAAGTCAGGCCTAACGCATTTATGGGTCAAGTATTGATCGGTATTAACGGATTGATGTATGAAATTATTTCGGATAAAAACGCCGGAAAGTCTCTTTCTATAGACGTCACAATCAAGGACAAGTGTCCTAATGTAGACTATAATAACGCCGTTGGCGGAATGTAAAGGAGGTGTATCATGCATACAGAAAACTAAAGAAAATCAGTATTTTTTTCTTTTCTGTTTTGATAAAGAAATGGAGTCTTTGTAAGAATAAACCTAAGTCGATCGATGACTGTAGTCACATGACGCACGCGCGACTGATCGATTTAAATGACCCGAAACTTTGCGTGTCACAGCTTCCGGTTTTCGTGGCAGGGTGTTTTAAATGGATCCGATCCATGTGGTTTGCCAAGCGATAACCTTGTGTGTGCGGCGACTTGTTTGTTTACCAGGGTACTAATAAATAGGTTATATTTGCCCCTCAACATTTCGATTCCTGAATAGAAAGGAAAATGTGTTTATAATTTATTTCTCCCTCAGGCTCAACATTTGACAAACATTTAAAAAAAAGTCAAGACCACCACAGTATGATATTATGTAGTTTTAATGTTTCATCCATGCTGCTGTCTTAAATATCTTGACGGTAGCCTACTAACAAAAGGCTTCATTTCTCCCTCGACATTTGGGTTCCTGAAAGGAAGAAAAAGGAAAAGAATAATTTGATCTAAAGCTAGGCAAACTAGGCCTACGGTACTAAAATTGGGACCGCTAACATTACCGTAGGTACATTTGGATTAATCCCGACCCGGTCGTCCTCGGATTCCTCTGAGCGTATCGAGAGCGTCCAGGCGCTCCAAGCGTCTATTGAGGGCGCTCCGGGCGTCTCTGGTTTCTCCGGGCGTCACCGGGCGCTCCGGGCGTTTTTTAGTAGGACCGCTGTCAAATTGACCTTTAGATTTAGATTCGCAAACAACTGGGTCAGAGTAAAAATCCTATCGTTCAATCCCATTCCCAATTTCTCATACTGTATAACTTTAACTGCTTATGATAATAACTAAAAGTAATATTTAAAAGCATTAAAAAATTTGACCGTAAGATTATGAACAAAACATGAGAAAATGCGGGTTTAAGCTTACAACGAAATTGGAAGTTCTTTGCGCTAGGTTTTTGCATGGCGCACAACATTTTTATATATTTCACTGTATTTGTTCGAATGTTGTATTTCTAATTCATAGTTTATTATTTTTTTAGTTATTAGTACTGCCTTAAAAACAAACTTAGAAATTATAATTAGATATAATTTGTAATTTGTTACAATAACTTTGATTAAATAATTTTTTAAAAATTAAAAAATTATATTTTATAATTTTAACAGTAGCTTTAGTTTTTTCCCGTATATTCCAATTAGGTCGCAGTCCTCTTTATCGTCAGCGGCGCAATGTATTGGGCCTATAGAATTTGCACATCGCGACAGGTAAAAAAAGTACTATTTTTGAGTGGAATGGTAATTTTTGAGGGGAATAGTACTCTCTGTTGCCCCGCTTCTTAACCAATCAGATGCCTAAAATCTATGTATGAGGTATATACGGGTAATAATAATTATTTAATATGTAGTAAAAATTTAATTTATCGCGGGTGTTCTGGGGCAATTTGGTTATTTTTATGTATGCAATAAAGCAGGTCAGCACATTTACTGAAATCACTTGACACAATATGAAATCAGTTTTAGATGGTTTTTGTGTCTACTGCCCCCAACAGGGGCGTAGACACTATGTCATGATGTAGCAATTAAAGATGGCAGAAAAGGGTAAATCCGGTTTAGGCATGATGGGTACTACTACCATGAGGTGGGGGGGGGGCGCTCTATTGACAATCAAATCGAATAGCATTCGGAACTCGAACAAAATTGCGTTCGAAACTCGAACACGTGTTATAGAGACGTAGCAGGCGTTCGCCATGAACACCTTTTACCGTCATTTGACGCCCTCTAGAACACGTGTAGTACTCTTCGTGATCAACGACGTAACGTGGGAACTCCAGAAGTTACTAATTTTAAAGTGTTTTTAGTGTAATATAGTGGTAGGCCTATATACAGAATATTGTTATGAAAGAAAATTTTCATGAAAAATCCAGATACACTACAATAATACACACATCTGCATATTGAAGAACATAAGATATGATTAAAAAAACAAAAAACTCCTGTATAAGGCAGTAGACACATGCTCCTGCTGGGAGCCTATTTTTACCCATAGTTACTGACATAACGATATGATCATACTATGTCATATGATCATAGTATGTCACCAGACTCAATTGTTTTGTTGTCATGTGTCTCATTTTGGTCATGTGATATTAAAATAGTGTAACAGAATTCTATTATTAAGCAGACTTCTATTCAATTAAATCTAATTTGCATTTGATGTACAGCACAGTGATCTATTAATTCAATAATAATAAGTTTAACAGCTGGACATTGTGTTTGTCTAGTGCATGATGTAGGCATACGTGTACTGACAGTGCATTATGAGTAAATATTTCCTTTCATACTTTTTTGGTAGCCAATTATGGCTCAGTCTTCGCCTGGTTTTTAGAAAGTCAAACATATTATTTATGATTTATAATAAGCCCTCGTGTAAATTCAACACTGAAAGACATTTAAATATGACTCTCAACCATTTGATGGCTTCATTATATTTTTATTTTACATGTTTACATTTTCTAATTCAATACAATTGGCTTTTTAATTCTTTGTGTAACTGTATCGCTCTTCCTACTTTAGTAATGTAAAAAATTTCATTACACTTGCCTTTAATTTCTACTCAATATTGACTTTTTACATTTTGCTTTCTTTAATAAGTTGTACTGTACAGTAAACAGTAAAATCTTTTATATAGCATTTTCCCCAAAATGATCAAAGTACACCATTACATTAATATTTTACTTATATTTAAATTCCTATTGCATATAACACACTCTGAAGTTTCTTATTAAATTTGACCTTTTCTTTTAAAATAATTTAAATTGCACTGCTGATGAGGTTGCATGTTTCTGGTGGAATTTTAAAACTCAATTACAAAAGCGTAAAATCTTTGTATAGAACATTTGCATTGTTGCATGACTCTTCAACAATAAACTTTAATAGCTTGGGTATTACTGTATTGCACAGCTATTCAAGTGGATTGTAAATATTTTTAAAGGTACAGTAATTGTCAGTTTTACAATGATACTAAATACAACTTTTTCATAATAATTTTTAAAATCATTTCCTTTAATTTTGTGAATCAAACAAATTATTTAAAATATTAAAGATTACATATTTGTACATTTGCCTGTATAGTGACCCCCATCACTATTCAGAATGGATCCCCTTCTAAAAATACAGATTTCAATTACAATGTTTGCTTTAGTTTCTTCCTTATGCTGTTCTCTAGAGCCATACAAAATTGATCTCCTTCTGTTAATTCCACTGAAGACAATAATTATATTAAATCTTGAATTTCTTTGCCCTTCTTTGTAAGGTGCTAACATTGCCAACATCCCTAAACCCACAACTAATCAATAGACACTTCCTAAATCAAAAAGATAAGCAAAATATTCATGGTACAGAGTGAAAAACCTTGAAATAAATAATCTGAAAGGAAATACAGTAATGAAGAAAAAGTAAAAACAGTAGAAGACAAAGATAGGCAATTTTATTGTTCCTTTCAATAATTGTAGAATGTATATAGTCCTTCTAAGTGGCTTGTGTATTGAAACCTTGTGATGTTTTTGTTTAGTGTAGACTGGCTTTGCATGAGTTCTTTTTCTAACCGGTTTTGGTTATTATCTTTTTATCTATCCCCGCATCACTTGTTTAGTTAAATTGCTTGAGTTTTACAGAACATTTGAATGTTTTTAAATATGATAATCTTCTACTTTATGAGATAAATAAGAATACTATATTATATTATAGCTGAACTTTGAATATACTGTATTGACATTGTTTTTTAAGATAAAATAAGTATAAATAATGATTACTTCACATTTTTTTTTAATTATACATTTAATAACATGAATGAGTATATTTCTAAATATTTTTTTCCAGATAATTGAATATAATATTAGCTGAATAACCATGGATTTTGAAAGTCTTCGGGAATCTTTAGCAGAACACAACCAAGAACATTTATTAGATTTTGTCAATGATCTTAATGAGGATGAAAAACTAGCATTATATAATGATATTACAAATACAAATATCAAGGAAGTGGTTAAATTCTTCAAGACAGCCACCGAGTCCATGGACTCGCAAACAAAAGTGGATGACAAAATGGAACCAATTCCATCTGACATGTTTGGCTCGGTAACAAGATCTGGTAAAAAGCTGAAACAGTGGGAGATAAGTGGTGAGTGACTGTCAAATGATTGTCTATGATTTGCAGTGTTGTGAATGTGGTAGGAAGGGTACAGTACTCACTTTTTTGTTTCTAAATGTCAAAGGTTACTGTACAGTACCGTAGTTAAACTCCATAAAAGTAATATTATACAGGACACAATATTACTATATATTATTTTAAAAATTGTATTTCTAATATGGTGAATAGAAAACAGACCAAGAAAACTAAAAGTATATGTTGAAGCCCTGTGCAGACTATCAAATTTTATTTGACAAAACATGTGACATGCCTAAATATGGTCATGATGACATCACATCATGATGGTCGTACAACAGTTTTTTGTCAAAGAGAATTTGATCGTGTTTATAGGGCTTTACAGAATGAGCAAACACTCAAACAATTAATATGATCTATCAGATTATCAATACTATATTGCGTTGAAAATGATCCATCCAAGCAATCCTAGCTTATCCTTAGTGGAAGTTACCAGAGCCCAGTAAATTGCTGTTCAGTTACATACTTTGTAGGGAATACTGTATGTCATCACAACATCTGGGTTGCACACCTTTCATCCTTTCTCACAGGTTTTCAGTTTATAAGTGCCTTTTTCTTTCAATCTTAGGTTTGGAGGCAGTAGGGAAATCCAAGGTATGTGTATTATTGTTAGCAGGCGGACAAGGTACACGCCTTGGAGTAAGCTACCCAAAAGGCATGTATAATGTCGGCTTACCCTCTGGCAAGCCACTCTATCAGCTACAAGCGGAGAGGATCCTGCGATTGCAGCAATACGCAAAGGAAGAAACTGGCCAGTCTGGCACAATACCATGGTAAGTCCATCCACTGGAATTGCATATACCATATTTTTTCAAATAATGCCCTGCTTTGAATAAGTGCCCCCTTGAATATTTGAGTATACGTGTCCATTGAACACCAAAAAAAATGAACGCCTCCCTTGAATGAAAGCCCCCTCAAAAAGCCTTTTTATTCAAATAAAGTCAGTATATCATTTATTGTTGTCTTTAATAATTGTTTTTCTTCAGTGTTAATTGATCACTGTATATAACAGTATAAAGTAAATAACAGCAGCACTTTTGAGACTAACAATACAGTATATAATTTATTCCACACAGTGGACTTCATCAGGAGACTGATGAAGTCCACTGTGTGAACGAAAGCTAGAGAATAAGTTATATATTGTTAGTCTCAAAAGTGCTGCTGTTATTTACTTTATACTGTTTTAAACTGTACAGACTAACACGGCTATACTTTTTATTCATCATGTATATAACAGTATTCTCTCTCAGTAGGGCCAGAATGTAAAACCATTTTTGAATTCCCAGGTACATCATGACAAGTGAACATACACAGGAGCCAACCGAAGAGTTCTTTGCATCTCGCAACTTCTTTGGCCTACAAAAGGAAGACATTGTGTTCTTTGAACAGAACATGTTGCCGTGTATGTCTTTTGAAGGCAAGATTATTATGAGTAGTAAGAGCAAAATAGCCAGAGCACCAGGTGAGTTTAATCAGTGCTTTAATAAAAAGCGCCCCCTTGAAGGGTGATACAAGTCAAGTTCTATATACCAGCAGCGTCTGCTGTTGCAATCGGGAGGCACATAACACTGATAATTTGCCCCTTACAATAATTTTTCACCTTTTCTTATTTTATTCTAATGTAACTCTTTTTAGTTTATAAAGAACATATACATATAAAACATTATTATCCATCATTATAGTATTTTATAAGAATTCAATTACATGTTACCTTGTGGGCCCATTACCAGCAAAATTACCATTCATCTCATTTGTACTGTCTCCTGATAAAGTCCACTGTGTGAATGAAAACTAAAGATTAAATTGTATACAAGTTAGTCTTAAAAGTGCTGTTGTCATTTCTTTTATATCATTCATTATAAATAAACAAACCATAGAACAAAATGCAAAAAATGTGTTTGTAGTGGTATTCTAGTGGATATCTATGGAATTCCTATTTCAAATAAATTCAAAAGCTAATTAATAATGAAAAGTTCAGATAATGACGATGATAATGACAATAATGAAGAAGACGACAATGACATTGACATATGTGGCAGAAATGGTGGTGATGATGATGTCATATGAGAATGGCATTTTCAGTTGTTAATCTATGTAAAGAGGATGTATTGGTATTATAAGTGTGACATTTTCCATTGACTTATGTAACAGTTGAGGAAGGAGCCAAGTTGCATCATTGTATGGATAAAAAATTATGTAATGCACTTGGCAATGTGTCTGTCTTAGACATTTTTGGTCAAAGGAATGTCCTGGATAATCCCTAATTTCAAATAAGCATTGACCGAAGTTAAAAATAAGCATCATGTAGGCTTAAATAATTTATTGATCATACTGCTACGATTTAAACAAATATATTTAGCTTAAATTATTACAGTATTTAATGAACTTGTTCACGTGAAGTTGCATTCTTATTTTTAGACGGTAATGGGGGATTGTACCGGGCTCTCGATGAAAAGATCTTAAGTGATATGGAACGACGTGGAGTTCAATATATTCACGTGTACTGTGTAGATAATATCCTGGTCAAAATGGCTGACCCAGCATTCATTGGATTTTGTATAAGCAAAGGCGCAAACTGTGGGGCTAAGGTTTGTAATTTAGATTAGAAGCAAATTTGACAAACAAATACAGTATAAAAATGTTGGATTGGATTTATTCATTGTGGATAACCAATCACTGAATCTCTACTTGACCCCTGACCCTGATTTTGGTTTCCTTTGTTTGCATTGTGTGTGCATCACATGTAAAACATTGGAAACCAAAAACAAGGGTCATCACATGTATAAAAAAAAAAATAAAAGAGAAAATAAAATTGTGATAACAATATAACAGTCTGCTTTTTTATCAAAACACCACTTGCAAATACAGTCAAAGAGTATAAATAGAACAAGAGAGCAAAGTCCCGTTCGTAAAAACGTCATGCCTGTGTAGCACGCCCACTAACGGTTGTATATTCTTTTTATTACCCAGTGCAGCGCTGCGCAGCGTGGTAGAAGTACGCCCGCTATAAACTCAGTAAGCAGAAAACAAAAGTACAGTATCTTGTGGAGAACAGATAAACAGACAAACCGACCGTGCGCGGTGGAGTACTGGGTAATAAAACACATACAAGCGTTCTAGATGTGTATAAGAGACAGAGATAATAGTTCGCGTATATATGTAGGTGACATTTCGTTGAATGATTTCCAGGTGAGGAGCAGCAATTTGAATTGAATTCGTTGGCGAATTGGTAACCAGTGAAGCTGTTTCAATATTGGTGAAATGTGATCAAATTTTCTGGTCCATGTTAACATGCGAGCAGCTGAATTCTGAACATGTTGGAGCTTAGTCAGTAGCCACCTGTGTAGCTGACTGAGCTTAGGTGCTGCAAGTGGGAGAACATGGGGAACATTTTATTCTATGATCTTATTAATTCTAAGTTGACAATTTTTCTTAGGGAAAACAATGTTATGTAGAAATCCTCAACATAACTATTTATTTTCTCTATCGTCAGTGGAGGTGTTTCTTCGTACTTAGTTCAGTATCATATCTTTTTTAGGTCATATTATATTTCTCTAAGCAATCAGGAATTATAAATGATAAATGAATGAAAAATGTAACAATATGCATCCACAGAGATTTTTAAAACATAAATGGGATATGGATAAAAGTTGTTATTACTGTACATGTTTGGTTGGGATATTGCAAATGTAGGTAATTAAATGCTGCCATTAAAATTTATTTTATGATAATTTTTTAAAAAGCATTAAAGTATTTCTTTTTTATTACCTTTGTTTAGCAAACGGTTGAAACTTGACACAACCAGAAGGTGAAGTCAACTTGTACTTTTGTAACACAACAAGTAACCATATAATCATACATATATACATTTAGTTGCACTATATACTGTATTAGCTTCTGTATGTCATCAAACTAATGATATCTTATTGCACTCCTAATTGAGTTCAAAATTCTAAGCTTATACTAAAGATTGCTTGTGATTTGTCATCCTTGCACACTGACAGATCCTGAATTTGTTTGCTTGGGAGTCCAACAGGCAATTGAGTACCTATAATGGTTGGGGTTGTATGAACAATGCTTTGAAGGTTTCTGGTGTTCCCTTAAGCATCTTGGGGGCACAGGGGCTATGGCCCTGGAAGTGCTGGAGTTTTAGTGTACACTTGGCCCCAAGGGTTAAAAGTTGACTAAAATGAAGTCAGAACCAATGCCAATGTTATTTAAGGTTGCTGTTTGCGGTTCCCCTCTCTCTATTGCTGCTCAACTTGGTGAAGTCTACACCACCTGGTAGTTCAGAGCTAGTCTTCTATACTAACCAGGGCCAACTTTGGTGATCTATAATCTAGTCGGTGTTTCAATCTTATAATAGGCTGTAGATAATGGAGTTATTCAGTATCAGTGCTGGCTATGTTTCTAAGTTATCTAAGCTCTCTGAGCTTAACTCTCAAGCTTACAATGTACGCACTGGCTTGTGTGTAGAAAACTGACCACTGTAATTGCCATTGCAGTGTGTCAATACTAGTTGTCATAGTAACGATACTATTGCGCCTGCTTCTGGTTGTCTTACTGTGCTGTAGATTTACTGTGTGGCTAATATGGCAGTGAATTTGTCCTTAAAACTATCCAGTTCATGTCATACTTTTACCTGAAGTTTTAAATGACCCTGCTAATAATGTTAATAGCTTATAGGTTTTTTTTTTCCCCTTTTTTTTTTTTTTTTTTTTTTCTCTTTAATGATTTTATGAATAGACATTGACTATACTTCTGTTGTTTGCTTTTACATCAGTTTCACATTGCTTTTATTATATTATGTGCTTGTTTTTATTTATTTATCTATTTTTATTTACTTTATTTTATTATTACATAATTTTATATATTATTTTTTTTTTTATTTATTTTTTTTAATTTCTATTTTTTATTTATTTATTTTTTTATTTATTTATTTATTTTTTATTTATTTATTTTTTTTATTTATTTTTTTTTCCCTTTTAGTTAAGATTTTAAACTTTAGAATATTATAATTATTATTTTAATTGGATTTGGATTTTTCATTACTATTGTCTCTTTTTTTATGAATTTATCTTTACTTGTAACTTTTGTTCTGTTGTATGGTCGAAACTCTCCTGCGTGTGAGTGTTCCTCTGCTTTGAAAGAGAGAGCCAATAAATTATCAATTACCTTTCTTACTTTCTTTCATCATTTATTCCTTAATGAATTACTTGTATAGCTGATTTATGGTATGTGCACTTACCGTACATGTTTTTAATGCTTTACGACCTGGCAGTGCAGTGCTACTTGATCTACAGTACAAACTTACAATTTCTGGTATTTTTTGTACTATTCTGAATAAATTTCTAGGATAAGGTAATGATACTTGAAAGCATCCAACTATTAATATGAATATATGTACATATGAATGAGGAATCCACAGAGAGGAAAATTACCTGTCAATACAGTAACATATGTGGAACTAATTTAATAGGCTTTTCACATCACAAGACTCATTTTGGGGCACTTTCCTAAGACTCCCAGCCTTACCCATACTCTCTAGGCCCACCCATACCCATATTCATCTAATGGCACATTATGGTTTATCTGTGTGTGTGTAGTTCATCATTATATACATACATTTCAGGCCTTGATAATTATTATATATACAAGACAGTCCTTATACAATGCTATTGAAATGAATTAGCACCATTGCTTAATTTATTAACTCACCAATCTGCCTCCACTAACAATATATTCTACTCTTAACATGGAATATATACAACATATATCTTTATGCATGCAAAAGATAAGTAAACTTATTGAATGAAATTGTATTTAGTGTATTGAAATACAAAACTTCCAAAATCTATATTTATATTAAACAAATTTTTCATCTAATAAACTGCAGGAAACAGAATGTTCGAGACAATGACAGGAATGGGAGCGACAGGTAGCTTTGTTTTTATGATCAAAGACATTAATTTTAACATCCATATTTCAGATACTAGCCTATCTCAAACCCATTTAATATCACATATTTTACACTCTTGGTTGAGGCTTCATCATATAACTCTTTTATTCTTATAAAATTGTTTACCCATAGTAGAGCCTTTTACCCTTCCCATTTGATCATTTACCCCTCCTTGATTCAAACCACTGATCCAACTTACACTCACTGGATTTTCAACATTTTCTTTGCTTACCACTGTGTCAGCCATCATTTTAGATTTCATCCCTTTTCCCATCTTTTTTTTTAGTTTTGATACACAAATGTTTCAACATCTTTTAATAGTCAAATTAGAAGCTCCTATATTTCATCCCCCAACCAATTTTAATTATTTTACTTTTACATTTCCTTTTTTCTTTTTTATTTACAAAGGAATTAGAAAGTATTCTAATATGATCATATTTGATTCACCAAGAAATAATATTTAATATGTTATTATTTCCAGATCTATTTTGTATCAGTGTTTTCTACTTGGCTATATAATTTTTATGAATTTGAAATTTAATTAATTAGAAAGTATTCTAATATGATCATATTTGATTCACCAAGAAATAATATTTAATATGTTATTATTTCCAGATTTATTTTGTACCAGTGTTTTCTACTTGGCTATATAGTTTTTATGAATTTGAAATTTAAATTTAAATAAGACACCTCCATTGGTTTCAAACAATTAAATCAATCAAATAAATAATATACTTATGTAGCTATATGTAATACTGTTATATACTTATCTTTCCATGGTAGTAAGGACAAAAGAAATTTTGAAGGTGCACAGATAGTATTAACCCTTACTACTTGGACCACATATCATCAATGAACCTTTCCTCTATAGCCACACCCTTTGGATATTGTTGTTAATGAAACACAAACGATAGTGTTCAAACATACGCAAACACGACGTGTGTTTGTGAGACATATGCATATTCCTGGCAGTGGCACTATGGCACAAAATGGCTGCATAGTTACCGCGATAAACGCTGCGTAATCAAGGTTGCTTCAGCTTGTGGCTGCATTGGTTTTTCGTTAAAAAAAATGTTTTCATCCAGTTTTTAAATTCTGTTAGCCTACAATTATTTTCATGTGGATAAATGTTATAATTTTATTTTCTGAAATTTAATTAATGTAAATGTTGTTGCTAAACTGACCAATTGGCCATGTTTGTTTTGGTCACATGGAACGCTGATTAACTCTCTGGCTTGCTTACGTTAATTTTCATTGTCAACGAAGTCTATTTTACGAACCAGTCGAATGAAAATAATACTCAACGAAATTCGTAGTCAACGAAATTAACCAGTCGAATAAGCCCATTATAGAGCCACCCTTCATACTGATCCTTTTACTTTATTAACTTTGTATTGAGGTCAAGCTGGTATACATTACCACCATTATTATTTATATTATTACTTCTTTTCTTTTCCTAGTAAATTTGATCATACAATAATATGACTGTCAATGATTTGTTAGCTACAGTAAAGTGTTTCTCTTTTCACAATAAATTGTAACATTTTTGGAAACCATTTTTAAGCATAGGTTCATGGTTCTAATGTAGGCCTATGTTATGTAGGCCTATGTTATATCTTCATGTTTTTAATTTTTTTTTTAAATGTTTTCAATAAACGATATGCAAGAATTTTATATATTGATTTTAGCTCTGCTTTTAACACGATAATACCTCACAAACTGCATGCAAAAATGACTAAAATAGGTTTTGATATATCCATTTGTAACTGGGTCCGTAATTTCCTCACTGATCGACCTCAGTTTACCAGAGTGGGTACCCTCACCTCTAAAAAACAAATTATTAATACTTGTGTACCACAGGGGTGCGTCCTCTCACCCTTTCTTTTCACTTTGTTCACATATGATTGTGTAACAACGCTCCATAACTGCCACATAGCCAAGTTCGCTGACGACACCACCATTGTAGGACTTATCCAAGATAATAATGAGACATTTTATCGACAGCAAATTAAAGATATTGTAGACTGGTGCAGCAGTAACAATCTTTACTTAAATGTATTTAAAACTAAGGAAATGGTAGTAGACTTTCGGAAAGCTATAAATCCAAAATACTCTATATTTATAAATGATGTCCCAATCGACTTTGTTGAGGAATTTAAATTCCTTGGTATTTATATATCCAATGATATGAAGTGGCAACGTAACGTGCAAACAATTGTGAAAAGGGCACAGAAAAGAATTTATTTTTTGCGTAGGCGTAAATCTTTTGGAATGCATCCGACTATTTTGATGTCTTTTTGTAGAGCAGTAATTGAAAGCATTTTAACATTATCTATAACCGTCTGGTTCGGGGGCGCTACCGAAAACGACTTATATGCCCTTAACAGAATCGTCAGGACTGCAACGCATATCATTGGCTGTCTCTTATACACATCTAGATGTGTATAAGAGACAGATCATTGGTTTGGAACAAATGCCTCTGGAAACCATTTTCCATGATCGGCTTCTTAAAAAGGCAGAGGCTATTATGGGCGACCAAACTCATCCTGCCTCAAACCTATTCCAATTGATGTGCAGTGGTCGACGTTTTCGTTCATTGAAAGCCACTAAGGCTAGATTCAGGAATAGCTTCTTTCCTAGAGCAATTAGGGCTCTAAATTGTAGGTAAATGTTTCATACTTTTGCACTTTGTTTCTTTGTTTGTGTTTGTTTTGCCTTTTTTTTACCACAGAGCAAAACAAATTTCTATGTTCTCCTGAACAATGACAATAAAATATGATTGATTGATTGATTGAATAAGTTGAGTAGACTTTTATTAATTTAACATTAACTGTATTAAACTATTGGTGTACCATAGTGAATTTGTAGTTCAGATGGTAATTCTTATGTTTCAACATACAGTATTCAATAAGCAAACAGCTATTGGTGCATTTTGGTATGATCCCCAGTAAATATGATATCTTCATTCCTGACGATATTCAAGTAAACAATGAAATATAAAATTGCTATGGTTTCTTTTATTCTGTTTGGAGTGTTCATTAATGTTATGCTATGATGAATATGTATTTGTATTGTATCGCATTGTATTAATAATGAAGATGAAATAATTTGAGTTACTATGTTAGTTTAAATAGACATGAATAAAGGTAAAGGAAGGTAACACTTGATAGGCTAACATTATTTGTATACAATACTGTATTCTTGAGTTGTCATTCAAAAAGTTACCGTCATGCTTGAACAAAATCATGTTTGTATGCCTATAACCATGAGTTGTCATTCAAATAGACAGTCAACCTGGAGGGCTTCAATGCTTGAACAAAAGCTAATGGATTTTTATTTAAGTTTGTGCCTGTAAAGTGCTGTCTTTCTCATCTTTATTCCATTAATGAGAAGGAAGTGTACACTACTTTGAGTTTTCTGCAATTTTATGTTTTGCTTAACTCCATTATCTGCTCATCAGAAAAACTCATTCTTGATGCTTCTAAATTGAGTACTGACAAAGTTTATGAACTTTGACATAATGGCCTGTGTAGACCAAACAGATAATACTAGTGGTGTACTTTTCGTATTACTAATAATTATAGAAAAAGTGCTAATGATAGTATAGGACAATATTGAAATAAAATGCAGTGTATATATATATAATCATAATTATAAATTATATTGTATTGTTTTCAGACGCAGCGCCAATGATGTTGACCATTCTGCGGTTATATGTGAAGTTTCCCCACTGCTCTCTTATGCAGGAGAGGTATGTGTTTAACTTACTATCACTTTATACACATGCATTTGTTTTACTTCATAAGTTGTCTTGAACACAAAAAAACATTTGTTTACCAATAATAACCAACAGTTATATGGTGAATGTTTTTGGCTGTCAAGGTATAATTATCCATACATGATAGAGCATAGTTTATTTTAAATTGCTGTATGCATCATATAATTTAAATCCATTAGGCAGCTTTTATTTTTCCATGATGCATCAAATCTGTTGAAAACATAAGATATATAAAGCTGTTTACTATGTCTTTAAAAGGATAACTGGATTTTGTTTGTTTATTTTTGCAGGGGTTGGAGCACATTGTTAGTAACAAGCGATTCCAGTCACCTTTGCTACTCACAGAAAAACATAAAATGAATAAAGAAATTGAGATTAACTAAGCAAACCCTATAATAACCGAAAGGTCCACAGATTAATCTCGCATAAGAAAGTATAATACATACTCCAAGTATTGAAATACATGCCATCGTGTTGAGATACACGATGGCGTGTATTTCAATACTTGGAGTATGTATTATACTTTCAAATCCTGTAATATTACATATTATATTATAGGTCACAATAATATTACATGTTACAAAATTATTACAAGTTATGTTACAATAATATTACTTGTTACATTTCATGTCACAATAATAGTTCAATGTTACATGTTACGGTTTGCATGTAACATTTCATGTCACAATAATAGTATATGTTACATGTTACATTATTGTATTTGACATGTAACAATTCATGTCAAAATAATAATTCATTTCACAATTTACAATAACATTGCTTTATACTACTTTATAGATCACAATAATGTTACATGTTACAATAATATTACATGTTGCTGTACATTTTACAATAATAAATAGAAACTTCCATATATTTTAGGATTTTCTTTAATTCTTTTTTAAGCAGATAATTGGTTTTGCAAGTTCTGGTATCAAGACTTAATGATAGAATCTTGAATAAATGATAAAATAGTTTTAATGTTATGTTTAACTTATGCTTGGAATATAATTGATATGTTTGATGCATTTTGCCTCATGTTATAATGATGGTATTTATTTTTATTTAGGAAGTTTCTCAGGATTGTCCTCCAATGAAGTGCCATTAAATTTTTATTATGTAGTCAATATCAGATGATTTTATGACCAAATAAAATAGGGATGTATATTTTCCCACTATTACCAAACAAGTCTCAACCTACATAAAACTGTAGCAGTAATTAAATTAAAAATAAAATGATATAATTGTAATTTAAAACCAATTGAATGAATATCATTGTATTGTAAAACCTAAATTATTTACTTAATAAATCAGTTGGAATTCCAAGTTATATGTGCAAAGCCAGGCACAATGTGTCGTATGAAAGTTGAATGATCATCAGCTGACAAAGCCATCTCTTCCCTCTGCGAGTGCTTTTGACGACGCAACAAATGTCTGCTGATTTTTTTTATAGTAGACTGACCAGATTGTCATTTAGAAACTATCTGTTGTGCGTGCCTCAATGGATTTCATTCTCCATGAAATTGCTTGCCGACAACCGTTGATGCGTGTCTGGCTTTTGGTCATTTGTTCGTATTTTGTTTGTTTTTGTATCCTTAGAAGAGAAATTTGTTTTTGTTTTCCTTCATTTAGTGTAATGGTCAAATTTACAGTGGCGTATCTAGAAGTCTTGAAATGGGGGTGGTAAAGTGGGGGCTCGATGGTCAGCTGAGGGGTGCTATCTTGCAAAATAGGGTGATTTTAGGTGATTTTTAATTACTTGCAACTGATTTTTTGGGGAATGACTTGGGGGTGCAAGTAATTTTTGCAGGGGCCCCACACCCCCCACCCGCAATAATTATATTAATTATTATTAATACACATAGTAATAATGATAATATTCAGTGGTTTGTCTTTTATTTTTTATTACATTCTGTGTGATGAGTATTGGATTATGATAATGATAATTATGTTCTCATGACATTTATTTTAATTAATAACATTTAATAAATCTAGTTGGTACTAAAGATTATCCTTAGTTTTATATAATTACAATATGCTATAATATAATTTTTTGTTTCTTTGGTTCCATTTGGAAAATGTATTTAAATGACACTGTTTTAAGCCCAAATTTTCTATAACATGATGTATAATAGTAATTTTTCTATATCCAAGATTGATATTATTTCTTCAAATTAATAATAATTGAAGAAATTAATAAATCTTTACAAGATTGTGACGTCATATTTGACACTGTGTGTCTTTGAGATCTTAGGCAGAAAATACTTGATGTTGTAGGACTTGTAACCTTCAGCTTGAAATCTCCAATAAATATGTAGGCCTATGTACTATGTCTCTTTCTTCATGAATCATATTCGTTTCTTGAATAAAAAGGGCAGAATTTCAGTTATATTTATTGTTAATTATACTGTATCTTATTGATTTGGCTGTTAAAGATGATCCTATTGTCATATTTAAAAATGGAGTATGAAATGGATTATAATGATAATATATTTATGTAATTGTTGATCATATTGATTATATTACATTTAAATATATTAATCGAAATACAATAAAGATATTTGCAATACATATTTAGTATCAGTATATATGAATATAGGTTCTCTTGTAAACACTTTATTTTGAATTGAGTAATTTATTATCGAATTTCATATTTTTTCATATATACCTTTTCATAATGTATATAATCAGTTTCAACGTTTGTGTTTCAACCAAAATGTAATGTGTTTTATGCCTTTATAACATCTTAAACAATAATCAACAACAAAGATTTTCTATGTACTGTATCTGATAGGTTACTGCATTTCAAAATTCCACTGAAATCGAAATGCATTAATTATTCGGTGTCTGGTAGAACAGTAACATATTACTGAAGCGGTAACCCAGTATAAAGAACAAATATTTATGATTTCTATTTATACAGTTTTTTGGGGAAACATTAAACATTAAGCTAACTATTGTTCAACCATAGAGGAAGCAGATAGAATAAATAAGAACCAATCTGCCTGACGAAAAATGTTGATGAATTGAAAAAGTCTTTACATTTTTAAAGTCTCAATTGCACTTGATTGTAATTTGTTAAATAAATTGAGTGTTTCAATATGTCCAACGAAAACCTTGTTGAAAAGAGTTTATATAATTATCAGAATATCGTGTAAGGTACGCTACGCTTTATCATGTTTTTTTAGACAGTATACCAATTTGATCATTTTCATAACTTTGACTTGTCATTAATAAATTTAAAATATTAATCAAATCTTGTGTTTAGATGTTTTGGTCAGTTTATACTCAATAATTTCAGCCTATATTCAGTAAATGATAAACATATGCCAACATTTTAATATTCAGTGATACATCACTGTACTGTATTAGTAGGGAGATTTCGCAACCTAACGATAACGAATACGAATACGTCCTTATCATCGTCAATCGTGCCTAAAATCTTTTTTTTTGACAATATAGGCCTATGCTGTAAGAGCTGAATATGATCCTTTATTCTGTAAGGGTCATGAATCGCCTACGCTGTGATATGCTACAGTAGGGAAAGGGTTGTCTACGTTTTCGTAAGCTTGCGAAAACTCCCTGATATTGGAGTAGATGGTTGCAGTGACGGCCCACCACATCTTCGTCCCAAGATTGGACTCCACCAACAATTGTCAATACAAATATATTATCCATAATAATCCTTTCTCATGGGCCCAGTAGGCATGGGCGTCGATCGGTGGGGGACAGGGGGAACACGTCCACGATTTTTCAAAGGGGGGGATCATATCAATTGTCTTCCCCTTCCCCACTTTGCATCAATCTTCTGTAATTAAAACCCCACTTTTCAAAACGAGTGGAAAGAACAACAATTACACATGACTATCATGAATTTTGCCTGTTCACTACTTGCGCTCTTTTCCAAGTGCAGTGCCTATTTCCGGACCAAAACCGAGTAAAACGAAACTGTTTGTACATTTCGTAACATCTCAGTAACCACTACAGTAAATCGATTTTATGGGTACAACGGTTATCAGAGGCTAAATGTATTGTGAAGTAAACTACGTTGTTAAAATTTGAAGCATGTAAACCTATTAGGCCAATAAAGTGCACAATTTCTACTATAAACACTTATTCCTTTTGTGTATTATTAGGGCCCGTACGTATATGTGTTAAATGTTATCTGCATAGATAGATTCCTATTTTTCCTAATTTCAAAAATTTATAGTTAGTCAATTGAATTTTATATATTAAATAATAATTAATATTCAAACAATAATTAGGGGCCTATACAGTTTCTGACATGGACAGGTCTATCTATTTCTATTTTTTTAAATAGTGATACCACAAGGTTACAAACTCCAGTGTTGCGTTAAATGCAATCTCGCAATGACCTCATAATAGTCAGTGGCGGATTCAAGTGGGGCCGACCCAAACCGGCACCCCCCCCCCCTAAAATTTTTTTCCAAAAAATATGGAAATTATAATTATAATTTAGGTCTGAGAGTGCTATGTGCCAATCATACATTTTCTTACCTCAGCCCCAATCATGGTGGTCTAGCTTCCCAAACTGTGAAAATCTCTCCCTGTCCCCCCTCTGTTTCGCTTTCCTGGAGCCGCCACTGATAATGATAAACTAAGTAAATCACCTTTATGTTGGTGAAATAAATGCTAACTAATGTTTTGTTTGCTTAGTCCTGTTTGATCGTAAATTAGACCGTAGTGTTTCCACTCACAATAGTGTAGCTATACTACTTGCACAAAAATGAAGTTCAGAAAGAGGAGAAAAGAAAAACGTCTTGATTGATTTTAAAAGACACTACATGCACAATAGACTAAATTAGTGGCTGTTTTAAGTTGATCTCATTTGTTTTGCATACGTCACAAGCTAATCAGTATAATAATAAATACTTATTTTGTTAATGTTTGCATGAAATATATAAACGGACATAATTATGATCACCAGGATAACTTGAAAAACTTTTTATTTTGAGTATTTCAGTGGGAGATTCAAGAGGCCCAACTGGCCCACCCAACTCCCTAATTTTTTTTCAAAATTTAAAATTAGAGAAAAAAGAAAATTATATTCAAATGTAGTCTGAGAGTGCCATTTCCGGCCAATTAGAGGTGCCATAATTATAAATTTTCTTACCTTAGCCCCAACCACGGTGGGGTTGAAGTGGTCTTCACTCTCCATCTGTAAACGTCCCTCCCTGGACCCCCTCTATTTCACATTCCTGGATCCACCACTAGACTGTATTTTAAAAATGTAGTGTGGAAATAAATGTTAATTGCATTTCTTGAAAATGAATTAGATACGACTTATTTATTTTATTTTCTTTTATTTTATTCAGTATAAAACCAACAGCGATGAAAACCGCCACTAACAGTTTCAACTAAAACATATATAAATATATATTATAAACTTCAAAACTGAAATTAACTAAAATACACTTACACAATTTTAACTATTTTGCTTTTTAAAATATTAAGACTATCATAAAAAATATCAATATTAAAACAAGTATCAAGTAG